TTGAGCTAGTCATGGTATATCAAAATTAGCTGGTGTGTGTGTGTGTGTGTGTACGTGTATGTGTGTGTGTGTGTGTGTGTGTACATGTGTGTTTCATTCACAAATCAAGAGAGCTCTTTGCCAGATGCAGCATGTGCAATAGGGAGCCAAAGCAGTTTAACTAATTCACTTCTACATTAAGTTTTGAAATTTCTTGGCTTCATGAGGTGTTATTTATGAAGGAGACAAGTAGTCTAATATACTTTAGGCCTATATAAATAGCGATTTGCACTAATTGAACTTGATAGGTTAATTAATAAAGACTCAAAATTGGGTGGGTATGGAATTTGGAGTGAATTTGGGAGGATTGTATAAAGGGGATAAATATGATCAAAGTGTAAAACAATGTACGGAATTCTCAAATAATTAGTAAAAACCCATTGTAACTTCTTTTTAAAATATCTTTGCATTTTTTATTTTTGGGATTATAATATAATTACAACTTTTATTCCTTCTCTTTCCTCCCTCAAACTCTCCCATATACCCCTCTTTACTATCTCTAAAATTCTTGCTCTTCTTTTTATTAATTACTATTACTTGCAACATTATATGTATATGTATATGTATATGTATATGTATATGTATATGTATATGTGCATGTGTATGTGCATGTGTATGTGTACATGCATATGATGTATATATATATGTCAACTTTCATTAACCAGTGGAGATCTGTGTTGGCAAAACCTGGGATCTGAGCATCTGAGAGACTGAAGCAGGCTACAGTCCGATGCTATAAATAACCTTATTTTTCCAATTTCAGTGTTCCTTTGTACACTAACATAACAAAGGAAGGAATGATCCAAGGAAGGTTGTTTGAGTTGAGAAAAACTCGATCAGGATCAGAAGAAACATGTAAATAAATGTTGTAAGCACTTACTAAGTATTCACAGATCAGCCCTTTCCTGCAACTATCTCAGAACAGAACATTTGAAACATAATTGCCTGGAACATTCTATAGATTGCATGGAAATCGGAAGGCCATATCCAAATTCAGGACACATTGACCAGATTGGGTTCTGTAGCTATGATCTGATATCCAGCAGGAATAAACATGTCTCACAAACTTAATATAAAAGGTTTTCACGGGAGGTACAAAAATCAACTCCAAGAACAATCCAAGGAATAGAATTTACTGGAAGTAAAGGGTCCTCTGCAGTTCCCCAAGGCATTGTTCAACATGTGTCATTCTTTTGACCATTTTCTGACATGTGTATACATACATATTTCTAAATGTAACATGTTCAGCCCATCTTCTGTTACTAGTATGAATATTTTGAAGGAGGATCTTTTGGTATTAATGAACCACTTAAGGCATTGAAACAATATGTATAATATTGCAAGTCAGTAGGAATTTTCAATTTTTCCAAATTATTTCTTAATATAATTAAAGTTCTAAAAAACTTCAAAACATAGAAAATGGATTAAAATAAATGTTATAAAATTTTATAAAGAAAAACCACGTACCTCAAAGCATATGCCTTAAAAGGCATAATGTGTATTGTTCTCACAGTAGTGTTAGTCAGTAGTTCTGAAGTCAAATATATTCTTCAGAGGTTTTACTTAGTTCATTGTCACCTGTCACTTGGGGAATTTAGTAGCCTACAAACAGCTGCACTTACACAGTTTTTCACCAAAGATTTGATTATGAACTCTGAGCAGAGGCCTTCAGAGAATGTTGTAGCTACTAAGAACTAGAAAACATGGGATAGTATAATTTCTGAATCCCCCCAGAAAATATATGTCTCTCTGATGGCTGGTAGGATAAAAAGCAGAAGCATGCAGAAGAGCTGGAGAGGAGCCATGTGGGAAAGAGCCATACACTTCAGAGTTGAACTAAGCTGAATATTCTGGTCAAAGAAAGGTCAGTCTTCAAGAGCAAAAATGGCACAGCCATGCCAACTCAGATGCCAAGCCACAGATCCACTCCAACTGGTGGATTCCACTCGCTCTTAATTATGAGCCTATCAAGGGGACCTTTGTTTCATGTAAATAAGAATGACAAGCAAACTAAGCTCTAACAGGTGCAAAAGCTTATTTTTACCCTGGGTTAAAATTACCATCATCAAAATATGGCTTGCCAGTACAGGTTGGTAGCACGTAGGTAGATTTTTGTTTTGTATGTGGGTGATAGATTTTTATCAGAGATATATCAGCAAAATTAGTTATTGTTGTTAATGTAGCAAAGTATTTTTATTTCAAAATCTCTTATTGTAGAATTGCTGGGTCTAAAGTCATTTCAATACTTGGCATTTGAGAACTCACTTGCCAAAGTTTGACATTTCTATCCAAGTATTTTTGGTGGCTTTCTGCCATTTTGAACAGCTCCCTAGGGCCTCCAGGTCCAGCTGTTTCACTAAACTGTACTGTAGAGTTAATTCTGAAGGGGGATAATGAAATTTCAGTATGTACCATTGTGTCTGTAAATCAACATTTTTGATTGAGGAACCAGCTTTTTCCCTTGGGTGTCAGGAATGAGAAGTTAATATGCTTATTTAGCCCATTTGCTCTCTGGTATTGTATTAATTCTCCTGTTTATGCCTGTGCACATGTCAATCTAAGAATCTGCTGGTGGAATGGACAGCCAGCTGTCTGAGGTGCAGAGGCAGAGCCACAGATTAGGTATTCTCTTGGGGCTCTTTTTAGTCAGGACTCCAAATGCACAGCTTATCTCTCAGAAACTTGGTTCACCCTAGAGAAACTTTAAAAGACGCTTTCTTTTTGCCAAGAATTTCTTTTTGGATGTCAGCTTAATTAACAATAATCCAAAGAAAGAAAAATGAGCTCTTTGTGGTCTGTAAGTGCTGATTTCCTACCCTTATTTGGTGAATTATTTTTATTGAAATTAGTTTCTCAGAAGCACCTAAGATTTCCATTAAGTATGAAAGGGGAAAATAATGTAGTATCTAGATGTTCTGAGGTGGGTACTCTCTTCCTGCTTCTAGATTATATTTAAGAAATTTTCATAAACCACAAAAGTGTCCAGAGATCAAAAGCAAAGATTGAGAGCAAATACCATATTAGGTGTTTTACAAAATATGGGAAGTTCATATATTCCAAAATATTACTAACAGTGAATTATATGAGAGATATTGACATAAACAGAGTCTGTAAAGGTGTAATGTGGCACATTCCTTAAAAGACTTTATCTACTGAGAAGTCACATATAAACAATGGCAACATTGTTACCTACTAAGATAGAATTAATGCATGGTGTAATTGCTGTCCAAACTAAATAAAGATAGGATACAATTTTACAGAGAATCACTTGACCCAAAAATGAGGAAACTTACATGAAACAGGAGATGGGAGATAGAAGATGAGGACAGATGGTTTTGGGAGTATAAAATGGAAGACACAAAGAAGCAGAGAGGAGAGTAGCACATTGGACAATATTGTTCTCTGGAGCTACAAAGACTCTTGTTACAACCAAATATAATATTTAAGGTAAAATTTCTTATCAGGTCACCATGACAATGAAATGTTTCTAAACTTGTGATAGTTCCTATTTGTGACAGATGCTATGCTAAACAATGGATAGGACACTTAGATTTGTTATCTATACAGGCTTTGTTGGGAGAGATGCTGAGACAATAGCAGCAACAACAACACAACAGTAACAAATGATAGATAAATAGATAAACAAAAGGTTTCACACTGTCAGACCAGATATTATTGTATTGAAAGGTTCAATAGTTTCACGTCTACAGCAGGTACACTGCTCAGACATTTGGAAATGGGCTTCTTTCTTCTTGTCTTCACAGTCTCTGACTAGGCTAATTTCCTCAAAAATTTTTTCCACATTTTTAATGTCACCTCTACAGAAGTGCCTTCTCCAAACATGGAGATGAGATCAGATCCCTGTATCCATGCTGACATGACATCTTGCCTACTTTCTCCATAGCAATTACACTAAATGTAATTAACTACCTATGCAATTATTTGTTTAGCATTTGTGATCTATTAGTGTGTTGACATTCCACTGAAAGGGAAGGTATTTGTCTTGCCAAAGAGAATCTTCAGCACTTGACAGGTGTTTGCTATATATTGCTGGGTAAATATGTTAGGTCCGGGATAAGAGAAGATGGGTAGGAGAATATCAAAAAGCTTACTTTGAAAGAGCCTGATGACTGAATTATAGTTAAGCTGTAGAAGAGAAAAGGAGAGTGGGTTAATTTCTATATTTCTAGGTTGTTGATTAATGTGCACTATGAATAAATAATAAGGCAAAGTTTTCTCTTAAATTTGAATCCTCTTGGAATAAGTTTACTGGATCACAGCTCACTAAATTAAGTTTTGTTTCCTTTGGGAAAATGTCATAGCTTTCCAAGCTTATTTGTTTATTTTAAAACCATTTAACATGAATTATTTCTGTAAAGTTTTAACACATGTGGCTTTTAGTCATTGTTCTTTGCTTTTGGTTCAGGAGACTATATATATATTCTTGTGGTGCTATTTCTAACATTCATCGAATATCAAAACTGGACTTTTTTAAAAAACATACTGTGTGTGTGTGTGTGTGTGTGTGTGTGAGAGAGAGAGAGAGAGAGAGAGAGAGAGAGAGAACGAGAGAGAGAGAGGGAGAGAGAGAGAGAGAGAGAGAGAGGGAGAGGGAGAGGGAGAGGGAGAGAGAGACAGGGAGAGAGAGAGAAAGAGACAGAGAGACAGAGACAGAGAGGGGGAGGGAGAGAAGAAGGGAGACAGGGAGTCAGAGAGGGAGAGAAGGAAGAAAAGAATCTTTAGGGACATTTTTATCTTTTCAGTGAGATATATTTTAGACTGCTAATGCTTGGATGTGAAATAACAGTAATTATTTTCAAGTTTAACCTAAGTATATAAACAAACATTCATGACAGTCAATAGGTAATTTCTGTAAGTACTTTATAAACTAAACTGTCACGCAATTATCCCATAATTTATTCCATTGATTTAAATTAAAAGTACTATTTGCTTCTTTCCAGTTTTGCACAGAGAAAAAGGAAAAGAAAAAGAAAAATTAAAAGGAGAAAAACCTGAGAAGAAAGGTATGTTGTTATTTTTTTGTACTACTTTAACATTAAAGTTTTTTTCTCTTTGGCATTTCTCTTCATTATATTTAGACTTTAAAAATGTTGGCTTCTTCTTCTAAAAGTTGTATTATGGTTATATTCATGAAAAAGAACTATAAAAAAATAAATCTCTGAACCAAAAAGAATAAAGTATGTTAGACTCTTGTCCCCATGCTACTTTTAAGAAATATGTCCGCCTTTCCTCTGGTAGTTTCAAGCCTGCCTTAGAGAATATTACTTGAGAGAAGAACAAAAAAAAAAAAAACTGGTCATGTTTATAGGTAAGAGGTCATCTTGATCATTTAAATTAAAATACCTATTGTATTATCTTTTGTTTGATATTGCTTATTTATTGAGAAAAATAGGTAAGACAACTTCACTGTTTAAATCATGAAGATCTTTCCCAACATATTAGTAATTTATATTATTGTTTCCCCCCTTTTTTCCAAAATCTAATATACCTTATATTCTGATTTTCCTAAATCAAAAATATGTCCTAGAGAAATTTTCATACCTGTTTTTACAACTTTTATAGTATTTGAGAAAGGAGGATATCTTATATTATATGCCTTAGCTTATTTGTAGAATTTAATGTGATTTTAGTGTTGTAGATTTCTTTCTGTTTCACAGGTCATATCTCTTGACCATTTATTGCTCTATGTGTATGTGTGTATGTGTGTGCATGCATGAATATACTGTGGTATTTTTACTTCAGGAACTTCATTAGGATCTTTACTAGAAACTAAGTCTACACTAATAATTTCCTTAAGTTTTAAAAAAATATTCCTTGGTTTACTTTTTTCCTTGATACATCCCACTCTGTCTTACTGTTTTATGTGAAGTAAGATTATGATTTGACGTTTTGCTGTTATTTGGATCACATTTCCATCCTCAATATCATAGTTGGCTAACTTTTCTGGTTTATGGAACACTGCAGCTTAGAATATGTAGAATTAATGTGATGTTTATGAAACAGAGCAATAGAAACATGTTTCAGTATGACTTATTACACATTCACATTTGAATATTAGAATTAAATGGTGCATTTTTATTAATATTTAACTAGTGATAATTTTCTTGAATTTTACAGCTCTTCTTTGTCTCAGGCATACTTATGCATTTCTCATATGATGGTGAGATAGTGAATTATGAATATAAGATTCTACATCTTGACAAAATCAAATAATCTTGTGGTTCTTATTAAGTTTCAAGCTTAAATATTACTAAATGTTTTCTTTTAATAAATTAATGCCCATAAATTATACATGTAGAGAATTTACTCAAAATAAAAATCAAAGATAGTTTGCTTTCTGTAAGTCTTCCTCTGTTTGTATATGCCAATTAAAGATATTTACATTTTAATATACATTACTGAAATGCTGGCACCTTCCATAAATGAACTGTTTTTTTTTTGAAATATAGGATCATGTAGCACACACTACTGGACCTCTGGGGTTATCTTAACCTTAACACTGAGACCTAACATTTTCTTACAATTTACAGAACAAAGTCATGTTAAATAAATTAATGTTGATTCATTACATTGTTAAATAAATATTGAGAAGATATTTCTCAAGTATAATGTAAGACATTGCTAAATTAAAATATTTATCATTTTAATAATCATTTTAATTATCCTATACAGTGTTTAACCCCTTATGGAATCATTGATAATGTTTTGTCATAATGACATTGATGTACAACAATCAGTGAGCAGGTACTAGAAAGGTTCAGTGTCTTTGTGATGCTCAAATCCTATCAGAAAGTTGCTCTTTCCCAAATGTTAACGGTGTTCCTGTGAAGGAACAATTTGGTTAATCACTCTTAAGCCATAATGTAGATATCTCCTATTATTAATGCTAAAAAGAGTTATCTTAGCAGTGTATATGTGCTTTATTTTTGTTTATTAAAATTCCTCGCTTTTGGTTTTCTTTCTTGAAAGCTTCATATATTTGCAGTAAAATCTATAAAAGAAAGATGACAGATCTAGATTTCAACATACCATTTATTAGTGTGATTGGGTTTTCTGTTTGTTTTGGTCAGGATCTAACTATTTAGCCTTGGCTATCCTGGAATTCACTACGTAGTCCAGGAGAGCCTCAAACTCACAGAGATCTTCCTGTCTTTACCTTCTGAGTACTGGAATTGAAAGCATTCACTACCATACTCGCTTATTTTCTAAGTTTTTTAAATTAATTAATTAATTAATTAATGAGATTTTCAAGACAGGGATTCTCTGTACTATTCAATGTCCTTAAAGTAGCTCTATAGACCAAGCTGTCCTAGAACTCACAGAGATTCTCTTGACTCTGCTTCTCAAGTGCTAGGATTAAGGTATGTGCCATCATCGCCTGGCTACTTTCTGATTTTTAGTGCCAAAGCTTATGTTGTATTCTGTACACTATTATCCACTGATAACTATATTCTTAAGATGGATCCAATAGTGATATAAATACCCAGTTACTCTATAGAACTGTAGTCAGAAGGAAATTGGCTATGCAATCTATTAAAGCTATGTGTAATTTATAATTTTCTAATGTTACTTTTCTGTTTAAGCAACTCACAAGGAAAAACTTGAGAAAAAAGAAAGAACAGAGACAAAGACCATGGCAAAAGGTATCATTTCCTTTTATTATCTTCACTCTTGACTTTTGATGATGGCAAGAATGTACATTTTGGGGGAAATCTGAAGTTTTGTAATAATTTTCCATTTCATTTAAATACAATGATTTAAAATTGAATATCTACATTCTTGACTTTTGATAATTAGAGTGTACATATGGGGAGAAATTTGAAGGTTTGTAATCATTTTCCATTTCATTTAAATACAATGCTTTAAAATTAAATATCTAAAGACTAATAAAATCAAAATACAGTTTTAAAAAATACCAAAACATGAAAGGAAGATAAAGTGTCCTCACATGTAAGTGCCAGAATTTTGATCTGGCTGACCTTTATCATACATTCTCATCCCCTTGACACTGGGAGAGTTAGGCAAGTTTGATCTAACAATAGAAAAATGACCCTGATGGAACTGCTTACATTCAATAAACAGTTCCAAAGTATTTAGAAGCATAGAAATTTCACAGGAAGTAAAACAAGTTTTGAAGTGTGTTATCTTATCCTCCCTGGCTACCATGAAAATTATGAGGGCCACGGGGGAAGCATGGAAAAAAATCTTTATTTTATGTTGAATAAATGTGGAAGATAGTTCTTCTAAGGAAGTCCATAAAAGGCACAATGAATTGATGACTTCATTTTGATCTTGTGAACACTGTAAGGAAGTAAGAATTTGTACACAAAAAGCATTATTATACTTCAAGTCCACAAAATCATCACTGCCATATTTTGGAAGGTTAATTTTGAAGGTTAATTTTTCTACCCTAAGTTGATCTACCAAATATTTTGTTTTAAAATATACATTTTTGTTGCAGGAAATATTAAAAATAATGGCAAGTTCTCATGCTATGCCCAGCTACTCTCTCCCCGGGAGATCTCGCAGCCTCTTGGCTAGCCCCAGTCCACAGTCTTCCCTTCTCTGGTACACCTGCCTCTCAGTCATCCACCTCTAGAAGTAGGTGGTCACAAATCCCTTAAACTCTTGAAGCTTAAAATTAAAGAATCAGATTTATATATTAATAAATTCTCAATTCATAAGATGCCCACACAATAAGTTTTATAATGATATAAATTGCCCACCTAGATAAGACATGTGGCTCCCTGTGGCTATTTAAAGCCAGGCAGAATCTGGATCATCCTGTTCGTCCTCCATCTTCCTTCCTTCTCCCTCTCCTCTCTCTTTATCCTTCTTCTCCCTCAAATTTCTCCATTCCCCATCCCTTCGAATGCCAAATCGCAGGCACTAGCCTTCCCAATCTCAGGTTCTAGACTTTACTTTGCAAGTTAAGGTGGGGAGAAAGTTCACAAGAAGTCACTTGTGTATGCCTTTCACTCCTTGTTAGCAGTCTCTCCCAGGAGAGCGAAATTAGCATCAAAATAAAGTAACACCACAACACATTTTGACTAATAATACAATTCTGTCTCCTCAATGTAAATGTTTTCCACTTATTTTAAAAGTATAACTTTGATATGGATATAATATCAATATAAAAGTTATAATGGAGCAATCTTATTCTAGTATCCTTAAAAAAACCTACCTATTTGTGGGAAAGAATATATCACCATCAAATAAATAAATAAATAAATAAATAAATAAATAAATAAAAGGTAATTGAATTTTTATAATAGATTCTAAAGAAAACTTTATGATAACTATTGTTCTAGCAATAGGTAACAGACATATCTGGTCCCACATATATTACTGAGACTACAAGATTATGTCAAAGTACTTATCTTTTTATGTGGATTCTTGGATTGATTTTAATTCCTTACACTCTCATGACAAGCAATTTACCAAACAAACTGTCTATCCATCCCCTCAAATTCCTAACATTATGTTAAGATGGATTCATTAAATAAAAATTTGAAATTAGAACATTCAGGAACCATTTGCAACATATTATCTTTGTAAAAAAATAAAAGCAGGTATGTCGGCTCATATTGCTAGAACAATAAATTATCTCAGCTACTTAGAATATTACCCACTCACTGTCTCGCACATAGTTCAAGTTTGGCTCATCTAGTTAATTGAGGTTCTTTTTAATCCTCTGTTGTTTGTCACAAATTCACACTGACATGATAATGGACTTCCCTAGGCCTAGCAACAGAAAAAAAAAATCAGGGTGTAAATTGTGATATTGTGAAATTGGGAGAGTTGACTACTATTAAATTTTAATCCAATTATTTCTGTCATAGTCTGTGAGTTAGCATATTACAAGACTAGTCAACATTCATTAAGAAAAGACGGTAGGAACTGTTGTCATCATAAGTCTGCTCACTACCAATGCTTCCTCTTTATATAGGTTAATACTGGCAGATACATGTAAATAAATTTTACATATATATATATATATATATATATATATATATTATGCCTATATAATGTTTTCATGTTTGTTTTTATTTATCTATTTAGGTTATATTAGGAATGGCAAATATATTCATGTTCTTTATATGATATGTGGGTTTCTAGGAAAATGAAATAAAGTTAAAAAGGCACAAACTGATCAGGTAACATTTGAGTTAGAAATTAAAATGAATTCCTTTAGAACACTATGATCAGCATTGAAGCTAATGACTCCTGCTGGCACTTTCACATGACACAGTGTGTTTCCTGTTCTGTTTAAAATACAGTATGTTCAAGGACAGTAATTTTCTAGACCATCCTAGAAATTCTTTTTGAAAGAAACATGCAGATTCCTTGTCATCTCCTGCCTGGTGCTTATATTAGACACTTTACATATGGTGCCCATTCTTTATAGTTCACAAAAAGAACAGAAAGGAAAGTAGAAAAGATGGGATGAGAAATCAAGAGGTGTCAACCCAAGTTCTGCCTGGTTCTCGCACCACCCTGCTGTTTTCTAGTGAAAGGCAAATTTACTTGTTTTAAGAAGTTGACAGTAGAAGAGGGAAGTCTTCATTTTTATATAAATAGTTATTGTAATGCTTTTCTTAATTGTGTGGTCCTGTCTCTAAGAGAATCGATTTTGCCAGTTATAAAATTCAGTGGTATTAAAATAGATCAGATTTTCACTAATCTTCAATTCTACAGTGATAAGATAGGGGTACAATCAATTGTGTTCTGAACAGTAAAGGTAGATGACATTTAAGATAGCTAAAATAACAATTTCACACAGACATAATCAAACAAGCAACCAACATAAAAAGGCTAGTAAAATTTCAAAATATAGGAATGTTCATTTTAATCTCTTTATGTGTGCAGAGTACATATTACTACATCATATATATGACACACATGTAGTAAACCATTTACTCCTCTGACTTCTAATTCAGATTCACTAGTTCTATATTCTCTTAAAATAAACATTGTACTGAACACAATGGTAAAAGAACTAAAAATTGAATTCCTGAACTCAAGTTTGCAGCCTGGTAAGGGAAACTAATAAGAAAACAATCTTGTACAATATTAAATATACAGTAGAGAATAAAACTGACTCCTTAATAAAAGTGTTGGCAGATACAAGGTAAAATTACAGGATGTTCAAATCCAGTGACAGCTTTTTTTGCATGAATTGAATATGATAGAATTCAGATATATAGAAAAATATAGAGAATTTAGAAAAAGCACTTTGATGAAGTTTGATATATTAAAACATATAACATGTTCAAACAGTGAGCATAGCAATACAGGAAAAAGCATGAAGCAGGATGAAGGCTGGTATCACAGTGTCTTAAATGCCATGCTAGAGTCTATATAGGCAGCAACCATGTGCTCATCTTTTGACGCCATCAAGTAGACAATGAGACAAGCCTGATCTAGCTTCTCTGGAAGGAAAATTTAGGTGTACATGTACAAGTTGCATATGGATTTGCGACACAAAAGGGAGAGAAGGAATCAGAAAATAATTGTTTTGTTACTTAAAAAAGAGAAGAAAATTTATACCATATAGTCAAAAAAAGCCACACATAAATGCAGAAAGAAATCCATAAAAATTTTTACAATGATTATGTTGGATAAGTTGGATACAATAATGCCCATCCCCGTGAAAGCTCAATACAATTTTTGTTTGAGGCATGCTGTTGTAGAAAATATTATTTTGGGGTTTCTACTTCACCTTAGATTATTTAGTTCCCAAACAAAAGATGCAATATATTTATATTTATATTCAGGTTTAAAGCACTAGAGCTGAGCAGATATTAATCCTCTATGCTATTTTGTTTACTTTCCTGTTAATAATCCCGATATATCACTTGCCATGTTCTGCCCAAGCCACTCCTATTGCAGCTGGGTGGCCCTCATGCCCATGGCTCATGATCCACCTATACCATGACGCCTTCTTCTTTGTTTCTCTCCCTCTCTCCTCTTGTCTTCAGAGCTCAGGAGCAGAAGCCCCATTTACCTCTCTTCTGTCCAGCTGCAGGCTGTAGGCAACTTTATTCAACCAATAGTTTTAAATGAAGGAGCAAAGTTTGCACAACAAAAGCTGGCACATTCATCTTGAGGCATGTAGTCCTTGGGATACAGAATTTAGCACTACAATACATAGCAAAAGATTAAACCTTCACAGCAAGCAATGATAAATAACTTATTATAGCTGTTTTTCAATGTCTTTCTATTTAACCTCAATGTCCTCTGATGTCTAGGCAGCAGCATCTCATTGGAATGTCCCCAAAACAGATTACATCCAATCCTGGTCCCACTGATCAAACACTGAATCACAGATGATATTGATTTTGTAAATAAATTGCTTTCTGCGATAATACTATCATTCGCTATATGGAAATACACAGGTGCCTTGGCTTAGTTTAAATCAAAGCAAAGTGAACAGAGGCCTGTATTTTCATCGAACTCTTTAACATGTGTGTCAAGAATATTTACAATGCATTGAAAGTGTGCAGACAAATATATGCCAAATATATGGTCCCATATACAGAAAATGTCAACTATGCACTGCCCATTACAACTAATTGAATCATACCATCAATGACTTTTAAAAAAAATGAAAGAATGATTCACAGAATGATTAATTTATAAGCCAGTTCCTTCTCTAAAAATACATGTACTATTGAGCTAATGTGTTTTAAATAGATGTGGAAATTCTATATTTTGCTTGCTAGTATTTTTTAAATTTTTTTTTCATTTTCCCCCCTTCCTTTCTCCCTCTTGCTCTGGCCTCGCTCGCTTTGCCCCTGCTTGCTCTGGAGCATTACTTCCCATCCGCCATCCCTGCTTGCTCAAGCCCAAAGTACACTGTAGCTGTCTTCAGACACCCATATGAGGGCATCAGATCTTACTACTGATGGTTGTGAGCCACCATGTGGTTGCTGGGATTTTAACACAGGACCTCCTGAAAAGCAGTAGGTGCTCTTAACCGCTGAGCCATCTCACCAGTACCCTTGCTAGTACTTTTTACTAGGACATTTTTAAAGTTTTACAAACATTTGGGGATATGATCTCTGATTTAGATATGTAAGAAAATGTATCTGTTTCTGTATTATCAGTCTTTGCAGGCCCAGTCATTAGGGATGTTTGTCTGTCAGTATCTAATAGGTATTATGGTAGGAATGTCTGTCTGGGTTTGTATTCTTAGCTGCAAATGCTTCTCAAGTTCAGTTTTACCTTTTATACAGGGAGCATTAGTCTTGTAGAAGGACCTTGTTAATGTGTCAGTTGGTCTCTGGTAAGTATTATCATTCTCATCTTGTTATTCAGTACCATGCAGGTAATGTTTCATTTATAGCCCTTGAAATTATCTTCTTTAAAATATTATATTAGAATTATTTTTGAGTAATATAAGATTTTACTGTTATAGAAGAAAATGGTCATATTCCTTTAAAATGAAATTCTTTAATTAGGCTCTTTAGCATGGATATTTTTCTTACTGAAGATTACAAACTTACAATCTTACTGAAGTTACAAACTCTGTATAATAAATGACTTATTGTGGACAGATTAAGCTCTTGATTTTCAAAGCCAAAATGCAAACAAACAGTAGCCACAACAACAATAGTAAAAACAGAAATCCAATCTCTTCACCTGAAAATTAAGAGCGAGATTCATCTTGTCGATGTATTTCAAATACAACATATTTATAAATTTATAATACCCTAGTAATTGTCAACAGTATATATAAAGACATCCATTTCTATTGATTGTCTTGTTTGTCTCTTTAAATGATACATGAAGATAATGAGATTTGAAGAATTATGTGAGTAAAGAATAACTGTCTTAACTTCTTGTAGAGGACAAGAAAGTTAAGACTAAGGAGAAGACTGAAGAAAAGGCTAAGAAGGAAATGAAAGTTGGGAAACAGGAGAAAGTGAAACCAACAGCTGCAGAAAGGAAAGAAACTCTGAAAACATCACCAAAAGCCAGACAGAGGGATGACAAAGAGACACCAGCTGTGCCCAAGCATGAGCAGAAAGGTAAACATCCCAAGGAGAAGGAGGTCCTGAGAGAATATTGAGCAAGAAGCAGATGCTGTCAAGTTAAACTCTGAAAAAGACTAAAAATAAACCTCAGATGGGGTAAAAAGAGATCCAAGCCACTATGCCTGAAAGGAAGTGCAGTCATTGGTTATTAGCATACTCATAAATATAATAAAATGCATTCAAATAGCTAGATGGATTTTCAAGTGAGTGTTGAGTGATCACTTGGAGTTATTTAAATTTGGGGCTGAGTGTTGAAATCTTGAAGACTGAGCAGAACAATTAAACAATTGTATGGGTTAGAATCTTGGGAAAGGTGGTTATAAAAATTGACAGCAACAGCATTTCTCAAGGAGTTGCTCCAGGAGTCAATGCACAAAACATATCGAAAAGAAATATATAAAAATTTTACTTCCTCAATATTGCTGCAGTGATATCATTTAGAATATGCACATTAAACTATCAACTCATTTCATTGTTCTAGGAAACCTCTTATATGATAAAGAAGTGTCGGGAGCTTTTCTAGTCTTCAATTTTTTTTAATTTCAGCGCAGTCTGCACAGGACAGGTGTGCTTTTCATCAACTGTGATTTATTAACTCACTTCTCAGAAATAGACCATTTACAGAAAGGTGCTGTGTGGCTTTAAAATGATCACCAAGGATGTTTGTCCCACCATTAGGGTACATTTTGGGTTTCCTATCCCTAAATCCATTCCTCAGTCCAGGTTACTACAAATTCCGACCTTCACATCCAGAACACAGTGTCTGCTCTGCATGATCTGTTTCTGAGACAGATGTATCTTTTCTTATGAATGTTACAAAATAAAACTTTCTTTGACTCCAATACCAACTGAATAATTTATTCAAAACTAAAATGGACAAATTGGTGTCTATATAACTTCATTGTGAATTTTAAACTTTTTAGTAAGAAGGCCATTTTAATGGTAGAACTGGAAACATTTTTTCTCTTACAAACTGTATAATGTGAATCACACACTCTTTGTATTTTTTATCTTATTTTCCAACATCGCAATGTTTATAAACTTTGATATGTGAGTAATGCGTGTAAACTTTAATTTATGAAACAAAAGGCACATGTATAGGACATATTTAAGGAAACAAGAATAAAAGGAGTACTCTTTCTTTTCCTCTTTTTGTATTTCATAAACTTTATGTAAATTTATTCATTTCAACCTAGTTTTACAGATACTCCTCCAGAATAAAAACTTTGGAAATTTGAACCTATTGTTTTCAAGATGATTGCAGGATCTTGAAAATTAAAAATATAAAGTGTTATCCTTTAAAATAATATCATGTATGAATGTGTGTGCTATAAAAGGGTACAATAATGAGAAATACTTTAAATGAGTAATTTCACTGTGATAAAATCAGGAAAATTAATACTTTGATTCACTATAATGACAGTTAGGTTCTAAAATACTGTGAAATTCAAATCACCCTTTAAGAAAGAAAAGTGTAATATAAAACCAAAGAAAACATATCAAGTATAATTAATCTCTAATTTTGTTATATAGAAATGTCAGAATACTCAAAAGTAATTAGGCACATAACTACCATTTGAGATGTTAGTGTCTCCCAGGGTTTGGAAATCATATTTCAATGATAAACTGGTTACTTTAGAATAATTTGAAAGTATGTTTATTTTCCAGGTCACAAATACTATATTTTGTCATATCACTAATCAAATAGGATTATATGCCAATTCGATTTTCAATGTACTATTTTCATTGTTATGTGAAGAGCTAGTTAAGCATTATAAGGAACGAAGGTATCAAAATGATTCTAACATCTAAACAAAAAAATAGGCTATAGCATGGCACCTACTGAGTACTGCTACCACCAATATAAATTGTATAACTCAGTAGATAATAAGAACTTTACCTGTAATGGCTGGTCAAACACAATAATAACTTACTTCCTTCCTTTTCTTTTTTTTCATTTTCTTTTTCCTCTTTCTTTCTTTTTTACTTTTTTTTTTTGCTAAGCAGATATTTAAAAGCATTAAAAAAACACTAGTTACATGATCATGATAATTTAAACAAAATAAAGATACGGTATTTTTTTAAGTAGCTTTGATTTTTAAATTCTTAAATCAATAACACAACAAAATTAAGGGGTTTTTTTTTCTGTGTGAAAAAAAGGTTTATTTGCTAAGTTGAAGTATGCTGAATGAAGGTAGATACACACATATACACACACGTATGTACATATATATCATTTTTATGTTCAAATTAATGCTGTTTGTGTGTCTGTGGGTGGATTTGTGCAGGAGAATTCAGGTGCTCTAAAGATGAGAAGAAAGATGAGAAGAAGAATCAGATTAACAGGAGCTGGTTCTGAAAGTTGAATTCGGCTCTTCCTCAAGAGCAGGAAACAATAATTTTGTGGTCTCTCCAGCCCCTCCTACAGTTTTTGAAACATCACTTTAAACACCCAATACACTTAAGTTTTGTTTTTGGAGTAGGACGATCTTATCTAGGACAAACATTTGTTGGTAAAATTTGCTTATAGAGTATAATTATCAATAAAAATCTCATTGTTTATTTACATTTGCATTATATATATATATATATATATATATATATAAAGTTACTCTACTTACTTATTATGTAATCTGCTTTTTATCGACCATTTCAAATTCACTCAAGGTAAGGTAGCAAAGTTGACATGATTTAAAATTTCTCTCTGGTTTTTGTGAGGAAATAAATATCTCACAGCTATTATATACACTATGCCCAGTCTCTTGATATTTTCATCTACTTAACAATGATTCAAGTATTGGTGACACTCAGAGAAAGTATCGCTATGAGAATCTGCCATAGTGCAACAGACCACATATACGCTAGCATCATTAGAGATTATTTGTTTAAAGTCATTTCTATTAATATTCTGTGTATTTTCCCTTGGCTGACATTCCACAGGGAACACCAGCCAGGCATCAACAGCTGAGTCGATTCATCAGTACTCCCTGAGGAGCCATAAGGCAGGAATGGACAACATAAATTAATTCTAGTAGAATGTTTTATTTTCAATATTTTTTTCAAAATAGTGATCAAACAGCGAATTGCAATATAGAAGTTACTATCCTATAACTACAAATGCCAGAATGGAGGGACAGTTTAGACTTTCTTTAAGGCTAGTTTCCTGCTGTGTTGAGTTGGATGTAGAGAACTATTTTTATAAATTGAGTATTTTCAAATTCAGAAGACTTGACTATGATTGGTTCTCAGGCAAATAAAACCCAACATGAACCTTGTAGCCTTACTAGAATTTTCACAGATTGTTGGTCATCACTGAAGACAGGTGGAATCCAGCACTATAAGAAAACAGTTAAAAATATATAAATATTATTAAGTTCCCATTGTATGTTGAAGTCATTAGAAAGCAAAGTCACACATAGTTTACATGTAACAGATACTTTTAAAATGTATTCACATAGGTAATATTCTAAGTGTAAAAAACAACCAAACAAGCAAAAACAAAACAAAGCAAAACCAAAAAAATGTAGAATCCACGAAGGATTTTCTACTTTATATTAAAAGCTTATTAGACTATTCATAAATTAAATGAATGGTTTCTGAAACAGGTATCATCGGCATAATAAATATAAGCAGTTGGTGCCAGGTTAAAAAGTTTCACTTGCTATAAACAATCAATTAATGAGGAAGTCTGAAGGGTATCTTTAGTATGAGTTGAATGTAACCAGGATGTAACCTTTGTTTTACTTCTGGGAAAAGAAAGCAATATTTTATCTCTGTAGCCAAAGTCTCATCTCTCCTCTAGTGCTGAGGGCTTTTAAGTCTTTGAGAGATTTTTATCACCTAATTTAGGATTGCTCAGTTTGAACAAAGTCAGATGATAGGCTTACAACTTTTGGACAAAGTCTAGTCAGGCTATGAACCTGGTCCACCAGCTGGGGGGTTCCATTGGAGGGAGAAAAAGGATTCCAAGCTGATTTTAAACTGTGTGGAGGAAGCCATCTTGATTATCTGAGGTTCCTGTCCCTATCCATTAGACTGTGTAGGATCTAACTCCTAGCCATCAGTCTAACTATACAACGTGGGAGATTGTTAAACACGAATACTATCAATACACCCATGTACAGCTCTGTGAGTAATGGATCATATGTATACTCTGGCATATTTCCTATCTTTCTGAGAAATATTCTTGAGCCATAGGAAGGAGTAACCATATGTTAAATGAGGTCCAAAACAGGAGGAAATATGGGCATATCATACTACTCCAAATCTATATCATCCATTTAAAGAAAAAGTATCCTTAGCCTTATTTTATAGCAAAATCTCGTGTCTAGAAAAAGACATGATATTACCTATTTTAATGTTACTTTTCTAACACCATAGACATCCCAGAGCCTGGGATGGGGCATAAACCATCCTCGAAACTATGTCAACAAAGGAGAAGATTTGTGGGTTGGTCTAAAAATAGGCCACCTCATTTTAGTAACCAGAAACATATAAACTTTAGAAACATTGTAAGTTTTGATTCACCCTTATTTAGGTATTAATGAAAAGGATTCTGTTTTGTAGATTTATTGCAGTAAGTACATTTACTATTTTAAAGATGACAAAGACCCAGTAGAGCTTCATAAATAAATATTCTTGGGTATTTATTCCTATAAAATAAATATAGTTATATTGTTTGATAAAAGTAATTTTGAACTATTAAAGATGTATCATTCTATATAAATGCAATAAACTTTCTTGGTGCTATAGCTTCCTATGCATTTGGTGAATTAATAAAATGCCTAATAAAAAGATTTTAAAAAGTAAATGTTTAAATACAAGGATCATAATTAAGTTTTAAAGATGTTGTGATAAAGTTTATGAAATCTTTTACAGTGGCTACTAAAGTTATATTGACCATGGGAGAATTCAAAGTTTGCAATAGTATGTATTTCATGGGTTGTATGTAATTAAGAAGTAAAAACAATAACCCAACTCCTGAAATCATTTTGGACTGTGCCTGCATCATCTAGTTACTTTGTTGGTTCATTTTTATGGACTACAGACTAGCCAAGAGCATAAAGTGATCACATAAAGATTAGTTAATTAGTGTACTTATTATTTCTATCATTTGGTGCTGTTGAGTGAGTCTCCAGATCACATTTCTGATAAAGAGAATTTCCATGAACAGGATCCTAACAGGTTACAATGCGCTTGTCCTCTGTGCCTTATTTCAGAATTATCAACAGTCTCACTTGGAATAGCTAGCAGATGTCCTGGGTCTAGCAGCAGGAAACATTCCTAGTTGAAAAGAATTTTCTTCTGTGTACCTCATGTTCCCTTCTTAAACATTTCACAAGAATATGTGAGAATAATTGCTTTAAAGTAAGGAAACGATTTTGAATTATCAAATATTTCCTACCCCTCATATAACCACAAATAACTTTGTTTCCATATTTAAGAGGTTTTATAGGTAATGAGTGAGACATTATGTGTGTTACATATTTTCCTTTGTATGCTCATAAAAATCACTATTTATTCCTTCACAGAGATAAGTAGTAGCCAAAATAAATGTGTGCTGTTTTGGTTGTTCTGTTACATTGTGTCTTCATTGTAGAATAGGCGGATGGTGATGACATGCTTTCATTGCTTCTTCTTTTTCTCTATTCTGTCAGATCAGTATGAGTTCTGTCGATATATGATTGACATGTTTGTCCATGGGGATTTAAAACCAGGTATTCCAAACAATTCTTATTGTTGTCTGTCTTAATAGCCTTTGTTTCTAAGACTGTCAACTTTATCTGTCCTAAGCTATGTTTTCATTTAAAAACTTGCATAATGCATGTGCAGACCTAGAATAAAGACAATAAAATGCAGAAATAATAACTGGTGCTGGGCCCTTTAACTTTACCTGTGTTCGCTGCATGGCCTGTTGAAAATGAAGTCAGTTGAAAGCTCAAAGATGCTAATATCTTCTTATATAAAAATGCTAATATCTTTAATAATATCTTGGAGTGAAGAAATGAATCACTTGATATGATTCCTGGTAAATTTAGAAGAAAAGACTTACAATAAAGAAAAATATTCTTTTTATTGGATAGTAGATAAAATTCATAATAAAATCCATCACTTTTTAAACACTGAGTCTTATCTTTCCAAAACATTCACATTTTCTTACTTATGGTCTTTTGTGATTCCAGAAAAACACTGGTAGAGTTAGTTAACTTTGGTTCATATCTCTGCAATGAAGAAAGGCTTTTGATCACATCAATACACCTCTGCTCTTTCATATCTTTAATTTTTCTGTAAAGTATGCTAAGGATAGCTTAATTAAGATGAACAACTTTATTCCTTGTGTAAAGTATTTTAAAATCTGATAGACTAACTACTCTCAATGGAAGCTGACTGTTAAAAACCAACTATACTTTGTTTCCTTAGCTGTTTTATGGAAGTCTTTCTAAAATGCTAGTTACAACTTGCACATACATTGACAATCAAGCATAATCATACCTGAAGCAAGTATGTAATAATCTAGTTCTTATAATTTTAAAAGCTTATTAGGCTCTTATCACTCTAGAACATTAAGTCAATCCCAGTAACTGATTTTTTTTTAAAGATACTTTGGACTTCTTTCTCCCCTCATTTTTTCTCTTCCTACTTCCCTTTCCTTTTTTTCTTTCATTTCTCCTTCTTCTTTTCTTCCTACTCTACATCCTCCACAACCTCCTTCTCCTCCTTGTCTTTCTCTTTCTCAACCACCTCCGTCTTCTTTCCCTTTTCTAATTCCTCTGAGTTTTTCTCCTCTACCATCTTCTTCTCCTCTTCCCCCTCTACCTCTCCCTCCTCCTTCTCATTCTCTTTTTTTCTCCATGCTTATGATTTAGAAATTGTGATATTGAAAACTGAGCATTGTAATTATAATACCTTATTGATGACACTAATCTCTGTCAATATTTATATATAATCTCCTAAAATATTTATTAGAATTGTGGAGGAAGGTAAGTGTAATCACTTATGAAAAGAAGATTTTGAACAAAACCACAGAACTCATTTCTAGCATGTGAGTTTGAACCAGTTACTGAACACATGCTCTTCAATGTTCTTGCATTTTACATAAAACTCACAATAAAGACATCATCTGTAAAGCATCCAGTCGATGCACAGAATAATCCTATGCTGCCTCAATGTTTTAAAATTATTTTATCACAATCTTTGCATAGGTACCTTACAGAGCGTGACCATCTCAAGTAGTGATGTACATATGCAATAAATACAATTTTCCAAAAATATCTGTTGCCTACATTATTCAGCCATGGTAGTTGGAGAAAGTCTTACTCTAGTTAGGTATGATGACATACTCTTGCTATCCATGACTCAGGACACTACGGAAGGAGGATTGAAAGTTCCTCACTGGCCTGAACTTCAGGGAAGAGACTATCGTGAAAACAAAAATAAATGAAAGTACAAAGAAAGGAATAGTCATAATTTATACATGTTTTGCTTTCCTAAGATCAACTGTGCTCAAGATGAGTCAACTTTTTGATATGTATGGATTGATAAATGACTAATATATACTGTTTCTTTGTTTTTTGTTAGCTTCTAAGTTTCATTGTTTGATTAAAAAACTGTTCTTTTGCTACTTCATCTATCAACATTATCTGCTAGTAGATGACAGAGGGTTTTCTAAGGAAGTAACATGATATGATAAAGTGAGCCAGGCATTGTCAAATGCAGCAAGGCTTGCTAACATTTTAGCTATCAAAATATTAATCAACTCTGTATGAACTCTGAATACAGATAAAGGTCAGAAAGAATAGTAAAAACATCTCTAAGTGGGTTAAAAGTAGGTTTTACTAATGGATACATGGAAAGGGTTCTCCATAATGAGCATGTGATGATGCTCCAAAAGCTATAGGTTTAAGTCCACAGCAGTGTATACTAGTCTGACTCTAAAAAACTATTTCTGAAAAGTCTATGGGTAGATCTCTCAGTTCTATGAGTAGATCTCTCAGTTCTATGGGTAGATCTCTCAGTTCTATAAATTAACTTATTTGCTCTGATTTACTTTGTCTGTCTTCATTTATTTTTGAAGGACAATATGTAAAACAATGTTTTAGGTTATATTTCTTCACCAGATATTAAATAGAAGATTAAGGAGAAGAGAATTAAAGGTTTGCAAACTATTTGGCTTTTCCTAAGTGACACAGAGGGGGATTACATTCTCCTGTCTTTGTGAATGGGGAAGTGTAAAAAAACAGGTGGGGGCTGATTGAACACAAAATATGGCGAATAGGTTTTTTTTTAATTAGAAAAAAATGAAAAATTATTTAACTGGGCACGTGGATTTAGAAAGAAGACCAATGATAAAGATATGTACTCTGGGTGACAATTAGAAAATGAAATGATTCCTGCCAAGCTTATTGATCCATATGTATCTAGAATTTATAGACTACACCTGCTTCCATCTGCTTCCATTTAGAATCTATGGTATGCCTGTTATTCTTTAGCTGGAGTTCACCACTAATTATTGGTAATGAGTTTTTAAAACTATCATTTGGATTTTTCCTTTAGAATTCAGTAATCTCTTATAGATTGTTATCACACTCTTAAAAGTCAGGTTGAAAAGGAGCTGTATTGGTGACAATATAAATTTGGCACCAGATTTTAACATTTTATTCCAGTAAACAAAATACTTCTGATGTACCTTTAAAAGTTAAAACTGGAATTTTATCACTATAACTGAATAGAAATTCAAAGTGTTTCCTTTCTTACTAGTGAGCCATTCCATAAGATAATGATAACCCTGACTTCAGTTACAGAAACAGAAGAAAAAGCTGTCAGTTTTTTTTAATCTGATTGCCTTTCTCCTATACTGATTCACTTTATATTAAAATTGAGTAATACAAAGGAAATCTTGTATAAATCTAGAAAAGCAATAATTTACTTTTCATTAATTAAGAAATATTGTGAACACTGAAGATAGTTTTTTGGGGAAAAGTAAACCATTATATTGTCTAAGCTTTTAGTAATTCAACAACCATAAAACTACTTGATTGTATAGGTTGGCAGTGCTTCAGGATGCTTTTTATCAGTATTGTTTGGCTTAGAGAGAGACAGACATAGAGAGTGGCACAGAAACAAAGAGTGAGACAAAGACAGAGATGGGAGGGAGGGAGGGAGAGGTGGAGGGAGAGGTGGAGGGAGAGGGAGAGGGAGAGGTGGAGGGAGAGGTGGAGGGAGAGGGAGAGGTGGAGGGAGAGGGAGAGGGAGAGGTGGAGGGAGAGGTGGAGGGAGAGGTGGAGGGAGAGGGAGGGGGAGAGGGAGAGGTGGAGGGAGAGGGAGAGGGAGAGGTGGAGGGAGAGGGGGAGGGGGAGGGAGAGGTGGAGGGAGAGGGAGAGGGAGAGGGAAAGGGAGGGAGAGGTGGAGGGAGAGGGAGAGGGAGAGGTGGAGGGAGAGGTGGAGGGAGAGGGAGAGGGAGAGGGAGAGGGAGAGGAAACACGCTGGTCTTGTGCGACAAGTCATAAAATTGGTGATCCACTTTCATCTTGTACAAAATGGTCCATTTGTTTCTGTTGTATGAGACAAGTACCAGAAGAAAGTATAGACATTATTTCCAATTCTGAGATGGTATTTTGTATTGTTTTGTATTTTGGTATATGTAGAAATCAATTGTACACATGGTCAAAGTAAAACATCTAATTCATTTATACTGACCTTGTTTCTAATTCCAATTTTGTATTCAGTGCTTGGTGGCTGAGGACATTTTTCTTAAGTAGCATATATACCCATAGTTTCACTAGTTTAGTAGCTTGAAAAGAAACATCATGATTCTTCTCGTCACATTTTCTATTTATGAACCTCAGCCTTTGTCTAATGAACTTGTGTGGATTTCTAAGCAGAGTCATCTAGGCTGGGAAGAGACAATTTCTGTAAGTAGAAAGTCTTATGACCCACAGATGTCTTCATACTCGCTGTAAATGAAGAAACTATTTAATCCAGAGACCAGGACTGGTGTTCTCTGGGTTAGTAACTGTAGCACCTTGCTCCTCTCAGTTTTCCACCTCTGTAGCTATTATGATTCAATTTTAATACAACTTTAATTTTATCTCTCAGAAGTTAGCCTACAATTATAATTCTGGTATCTAGATGACATATGCTTCAGTCAATTACTTATGTCAGAATAATGCTTTTCACTTTAAATATCATTTATTTTCCTAAAATTGAGGGTATTTACGTTACCAAATTTCCTTTGACTGCACAAAGCTATTATTCTGTAGCTTATTTTCCATTTTAATGGGTCTTAAATTCTGAGCTAGAAAAAGCCTTGAGAATGAAGTTAATCCCCAAATTTTACTATGATCACGTGCTTGGACTTTAATAATCTTTTATTTATCTTTATTAAAAATAAAGTTATTTTCATATAATATATTCTGATTATAGTTTCCCTTCCTTTATCTCCTTCAATATTCTTCCCACTCTTCTAATTCACATCTTTGTCTCTCTTAAGAATTTATAGAAGCAAAATGAAGTCAAAGAAAGAAAAATAAACTAGCAAAGGTAAAAAGAAACTGAGCCGAAGCACAGGAAACATGCACACAAATACATATATACAAACACATATGCACAAAAACAAATTCTCCATGTGCAGACACAGACAAACACATTCACACTTTAACATGTATAAACCCACATACATATACACAACATAAAATCACACGTACATATACAAACATATTTATGTGCATGCACATGCACACGCTCAAGTGTATGCACCCCCTGAATCCTATTAATAGGTCTAATAATGTTTAAAAACAAACAATATAAGACAAAATTCTCAAAAAATACCTACAAGTTTATTTTTGTTGCCCATTTATTGCTGGATAAGG